CCCCTCTGCCCGTTGGTTGAAAGATAGGCAGAGATTGCTCGCGACGTGTTACAAGTAGGTGGCGGTGTCGTCTTTTCTCTTGCTTGTTTTTGTGTTTTTCTCGTTTCCAGGATTGTTTGCTCGATTCTTTCATTGCTTCAAGAGTATTTCCATGGGATGCATTTATGTCTCTGTGGGCTTGAGCGGCAGCGGCGCCAATGGTTGTTGTGGCCCACGACAACAGAAACACCTTTCCACCACCAGTGTTACACGCCCGGCATGGTGTTTGGATCATTGAAATTTGCAACGACACAATCGACCGTTTCAACCCGTTGGCTCACAGGCGCCAATGGAGACCGCCAGAAGAAGGTGGTGGGGGCCGGACAGTCCAGCGGGAATCGATGCGGCTCCAAGACCCCGTTCGCCTCCCGTCTGCAAGAAGTCCCTGGCGTGGCGCTTCTTTGCGACGGCTGCGGGCACGACTGGTGCGGTCTCCCCCGGGGCCGCGGCGTCGCGCGAGGGTACGTCGACAAGGACAATGCGGTGGTGACGGTGGTGCAGGAGAAGCACTGGAAGTGCAAGAAACGGTGCAAGCCCGCCGCGGGCGCCAAGGTTAGGATCGACGGTGTGGAGTACACCGTGAAGTCGGCCCAGGACGGGCAATTCCGGCGCGGGAGTGTGTGATGGCGCATGCATCCCCTATGTTGCTCATGGTTCGTCGTGCTGGAGTTGTGTTGCACGATAGAGTGGGGGTACGTTGAAGTCGGGTTGACGATTGAGACTTGTTGGTGCTGCAGAAGCCCGTAATGCCCTGAGCCACACGATACCAGCAGACAATGCAATAGGCACGAGGCAGGAGGCGAGTCTCCAATATGTTGATCGGTCGGCGTAGAGCGGTGGCGTATACTGTGTGATTCACAACGCCCTCGCAAGGCTAGGCCCCTTTGATCGCCGTGCGGGTCTCTCGAACATTTGTTCTTTTCTTGATTTGTTTGTCCTTTTGGATAGAAAGATGGGTTTGTTCGCGATTTGTAGGGGAATCCTCTCGTGGTCTTCCACCTCAGGCTACATAGCTATATGGACGGCGCTTGTACACATACTTTTGCGCACGTGCACTCTGTGTGTCACAGCGAATGTCACCGAGTTCCTTATCTCCTCCATGCCCATCTGGTTGTGTATCTTTGCCGGACTACGATTTTGCACCATGCACGTAGTTTTCCGTCCGGCTAGGGGCGAGATATGCGTGTTTCATGGCAGCCCTAAAGGAGGGAGAAGTGGGACAGGGTAGGGTGGGGTCGAAGCCAACGCACCAAGATTTCGGCGTAGCTCAGATACATTGGATAGGGTACGTGTGTTGTGCTTCAAAGGAAGAATGGATTTGCCACTTTTATCGGTAACCTTTCCTGCGCGTGCCCGGAGGTGTTGGTTGGTGTCAACGACATGGTCGGCGTGTGTGTCAAAGACTCCGGTCGAAACACCCAATACTTTACGACACCCACCGCCTGCAGAGCCGATCCTCGACTCCCTCGACGGTCACCGTAGCACCCTTCTTGTGAAGCGCCGGCGAAGTCTGCCCGCATGCTACCCTCACCCAATCCCCGAGACCCAGGCCGTGTGCTTCGAAAACCTTGAAGGAAATTGCAGCGTGCATGACTTTCAAGTCACTGAAAGTGTGCCGATCGTCTCTGTTCACTGGTAAAATTTTCCTGGCCCAAACATTGGCCGATTTGCTGAACCGTTGGTTAATCTCCGCGGCAGTTAGATGAGCTGTGTCTTTGATCCCTCGGATCCTCTCTAAACCTTCGAAAAATTCTTCGAACTCACACAGAATAGGAACTACAGTCTCAACCGCGCCAGTAGAGACGACAGCTACATGAGGGTTCCCCTCGCACGGCGAGAATTCGGCCGCCCCAAGGAGCTCAGGTAATCCACGCCCCGATATGAAAGACAGCGCACACACAAGTTCAAAGTAGTTTGCACATGGGTATTTGATGATCGATGACATCGAATCGATTAACTCGGTCGCGTTTACCACAACCCCGCGCTCACACCTGGCCTCCAGAGCGTCCCTACGTTTTTTTCGTGGGAGACTCTTTTCTTCCGGCGTAAGCTCGAGACGAGAAACAAAATCTGGAAGCAGTTGCACCACACGGAGATGTTCGTCAACCTCGGTGAGTCCAGAGAAGGAATTCCTTCGGGAGTATACTTTGCGTCGTGCCGACCACTTCGCGGGCAGGTCTAACTTGGCGAACGTTAGGACCCGCTCCTCGGCCGTTTTGAGCTGCTTGAGGTAATTCCGTTGTCCCTCCATCTTCTTCGCCTTCGATGCCTCCCTCTTGATGCGCCTTACTACAGACCGGAGCTCGTTCCTGACGGGGCCGGCATTGTGGCTAGCGCCGTATGTTTCCATCCACTGAAGCCTGACCTTTCTCATATTCTTATTCAGAGACGTCGGGTGTAATTTTCTCAAGGCTTCAATGACTTCGTCTGGGTCCTCGTTATCTTCCAGCCATCTCGAACACGTTGCAATAGTTTGGTCCATCTTGGGAAAAAACACTTGCCCTGCCTACTTCATGCCATACAAAATAAACCAACTTTTCGACAGTAAGGGCTACTCTCTGACACCTTCTTTGTAAGTCCCCTTCCCAAACCACCTCGGGCACGGTTGCACCTCAAACACTTTACGTCAACGTTGCCCGGCGTGTGGGGTAGGGCGTAGTCGAGACGATCAAGCGTGGGCTGACGCTCGCTGTACACTGCCCAGACGACCTCGAGCGAGCATGAGTTGCATCTCCCACGATAGGAGCGCAAGAGTTCTTCGATAAGGGCGTCCTTGTGATGCCCCCCGTCCCCGTCATCTAGCCGCCCGGCGGCCACATCGGCGCGCAGGTAGCTCGAGACCTTTGTGGTCGCCCACGACCTCCTGGTGTGTTCAGGCATGTCGCTGACGCTCCGATGGACGTCATCGAGAACTACGGCGTTTGAGGGNGTAGTCGAGACGATCAAGCGTGGGCTGACGCTCGCTGTACACTGCCCAGACGACCTCGAGCGAGCATGAGTTGCATCTCCCACGGTAGGAGCGCAAGAGTTCTTCGATAAGGGCGTCCTTGTGATGCCCCCCGTCCCCGTCATCTAGCCGCCCGGCGGCCACATCGGCGCGCAGGTAGCTCGAGACCTTTGTGGTCGCCCACGACCTCCTGGTGTGTTCAGGCATGTCGCTGACGCTCCGATGGACGTCATCGAGGACTACGGCGTTTGAGGACCCCGTCGCTCGGCTGATGGCTGTGTAAAGCCAGTAAACGTCTGAATACCGGTGTCGAGCCTGGTGGATCACCAATTTCCCTTCCACTGTGCGACCCTGAACCGCGTGCACCGTACACGAACCCGGGGGATCAAACAGGATCTCTGCCGCGGCACGACTGAGAGTGGTCTCTTCGAGGGTGGCGCCGTCGTCGAAGGCACTTTGCACGACGACCGATTCGGCCGACGAACGAACGATGTGGTAGGCGTGGTTCTTGTGCACCTTTCCTGTCTTCCCGAGGTCTCGATACTGGGCACCCACCACCGCGCTTTGACCCAGCGCGTCCCACCCCCCAGCCTCGTTGCACCTCGTCAAACCCCGGAAGGCATGGAACCTCGCACATTCCCTGGTATAAGCGAGGTGGAAATCGGAAACGTGTGTGCCGGGCCCTGTGGGTTCGATCCCGCCAAACCTTTCCAGGGCTCGGGTCTGCGCTTCGG